CATTTAAAGCATTTCAGAATAAAGTACAGAAATTGTGGTGGAGAGGAATTGAGGAGCAAGCATACAGCTCTATTAAATAGGCGAGTCTGCTAGGACGGATTAAGAGAGATACAAAACGGTTTAGCATAAATTTACTTTTCAATAAAGCATATAAATGTATGTGATATATAGACTGATGCTGAAATAAAGTATGGCAAATATATAGAGGATGCACTATGTTGTTGTTCTTCGAAGTCTTCATGATGTCACCACCCAGTTGCAAAAACGAGGTCAGATTACCTCTACACAGTACAAAAAAAACACAATATAAACTACACTATTCTTATTTTTCGTGTGTAAGTAGAGTTTCGAGACTACCAGTATATCATAATATAAGATTTATTCACCTTATTTCTTTTAACGGGATAAAAGACTGGTGGTAAATTATTCCTACTCATATAATTGTAAGAAAATTGTCCTACCAGTACTTTATCACCTTGAATATATCTCAAAAAAATATAAATTTTCACAGGAATATCTTCATGCCTACGATTAACAGAATTAATTTTAATTTAATCTGTACTGAATTTCATGCCTACTGCTTATCGTAATATACACTCAACCTTCATAAATGAAGGATTTAAAGGTTTATGAAAAATAATATTTAATTTATGTGGTAACAAATTTTATGTTATTAGGTTTTATTCTAATCAATTCTACACAAAATATTTGCAATATATATTAAGTCAGCAAAACTCAACCAGAAAGAACCCAAAGTATTAGTTCTGTAGGGAAAAACATTTTCAATTCTTTGAGCTAAGCAAATTTTTAAAAGCTTTTTATGATAATTTAATCAAAGTAACGTTTTTTGCATGAAGCTAATTAATATTACCCTTATTATTTAAGTAATTTATTATCTATCTAGTATTTATATGATAATGTTATGATAATGCCATTATTGTTACTTTTTAAAATATCAATATTTATCTATATATATATATATACACAAATATTTTACTTTTCGTTAATACTTTACTTGTTAATTGGAATTTAAAAATAATTCTCGTAACTTTTATAGCACAAAATAAAGAGTGAAATAAAAGTGATTGAAAATAAGAAATCTAAATCTTTAGCTTACCATCCATTTCGACATGTTGATTCTCCACATCCAGGAACAGCTAAACGTTGCACCAGTCCTCGAAGACCTAGTTCACCCAGCGGACTTTCTCTCTTTACATCATTGCTCGCCAGTCCTCTGCGGATGCAGACTCCTCTTATATGACGATTAGCCCAATTTGGTGGAGTCATACACTCAATTGTTCTTCTTTCACAGTTTTTACTCGAATCCATTGCCTTCTGGAAATTATCTGTTTGTTTGGAATTCGTCGTTCTGACCAGGATGGTGTCGAAATTCGGTATTTTCCATTGCAAAAGCTCTTTTTTGTTCAGAAAATTCGTCGAAATATTTGATGAATTTGAGTGGACTTTTAGTATATCCGAAGCCATCTGATCGTCTTGAGAAGTTTCTCCTCTGTAGTTCGTGAAGACAGAGTCCGCTGGCTCGATGGATCTGAATTCACTAGATTGCTCTAAAGGCTGATCGCTTGTTCCCTTGTTTTTGTCTCTCCGAATATTTGAGATTGCCATTTGAGTGGCTCTGTTTTGATGCGATGAATCAAGTCGGTTGAAAGATTGCGAGTCTGGTTCTTTTCTGGCAACACTCCAACGCACATTTTGAGCTCTCAATGCATTCGGAGATATTGAGTTTGCCGTCTCAACATCCTGTTGAAGGGCCGCGGCTCTAGACCTTGCAAGTGTTAACAGTCCATTTGTTTTTGGACTATTCCAAGGCGAAACTTTCCAGTTCGTATAACCTTTGGCCTCGTATTCATGTTGCCTATGAATCTGCTTGTCCATAAAGCAGTGAAGGGAAGATTTCCCATTTATTTGAGGTGACATTGGCACCAAGCTGCAAAATGAATTTTCATGTTTACTTGATATAATTGTGCTCGGTTGGCTTGAAGCCATGAGATAATTTTCAACTTATATTTCTAAAAACGAGCAATTCTTATCCTCAGCAGCTAGATGCATTTGTCAGCTTGATTCAGTAATTAATAAATCCCATTGTACTATGTTTTTAAGGGGTATACGTTCCCTTTACTTATGCATGGAAGGCGAGAAATTAGGCTTACCTAAGCCTCTGTCAATTTAACAGGATTTTGATTCTTAAACGATCCACAGTGATTGGTTCAAAGTGTTGACAAATAAGCGCACTGCATTATATTTTGGAGACTTTTGCTTTATAGACTTGATG